TGCTGATGGAAGAAGGTTTGCACTCAAAATCTCACGATACATGGCCCCATTCATTCTGTCCTGTACATGGATCAGTCGTCCTGGTCCCTTTGCGGAGAAACAGCCCCAAAGCATGATGTTGCCACCCCATGCTTCACAGTAGGTATGGTGTTCTTTGGATGCAACTCAGCATTCTCTCTCCTCCAAACACGACGAGTTGTGTTTCTACCAAACAGTTCTATTTTGGTTTCATCTGACCATATGACATTCTCCCAATCCTCTTCTGGATCATCCAAATGCTCTCTAGCAAACTTCAGACGGGCCCGGACATGTACTGGCTTAAGCAGGGGGACACGTCTGGCACTGCAGGATCTGAGTCCCTAACAGTGTAGTGTGTTACTGATGGTAGCCTTTGTTACGTTGGTCCCAGCTCTCTGCAGGTCATTCCCTAGGTCCCCCCGTGTGGTCCTGGGATTTTTGCTCACCGTTCTTGTGATAATTTTGACCCCACGGGGTGAGATCTTGCGTGGAGCCCCAGATTGAGGGAGATTATCAGTGGTCTTGTATGTCTTCCCTTTTCTAATTATTGCTCCCACAGTTGATTTGTTCACACCCAGCTGCTTGCCTATTGCAGATTCAGTCTTCCCAGCCTGGTGCAGGTCTACAATTTTGTTTCTGGTGTCCTTCGACAGCTCTTTGGTCTTCACCATAGTGGAGTTTGGAGTGTGACTGTTTGAGATTGTGGACAGGTGTCTTTTATACTGATAACAAGTTCAAACAGGTGCCATTGATACAGGTAATGAGTGCAGGACAGAGGAGCCTCTTAAAGAAGAAGGTACGGGTCTGTGAGAGCCAGAACTCTTGCTTGTTGGTAGGTGACCAAATACTTATTTTCCACCATAATTTGCAAATAAATTCTATTCAGATCAGCCAATGTGATTGTCTGGATTTTTTTGCTCATTTTGTCTCTCATAGTTGAGGTCTCCCTTTGATGCCAATTACAGGCCTCTCTCATCTTTTTAAGTGGGAGAACTTGCACAATTGGTGGCTGACTAAATACTTTTTTGCCCCACTGTATATGCCTACATGTGTGACTGTATAGTCACATAGGCTGCACAGATAAGAAATAAGAGGAAATGAAGAGCTCAGAATTGAACTGAAACTGGAACATGCTCAGTAGATGACAGCAGCTGGTATACACAATCTCAGATTGCAGTGGGGAAGTTGGGAGGGACAGCTGAAGGCAGGATCAACCAAGTATAATTCACTCTACACAAAACAAATACTTTAGTGGCTTTGTGAAAATGTACATTCTGTTATATAGAATGTAATGAGAGGTTTTTATAGTCTATGTTTAACCGCTTCCCGACCGCCCTATAGCAGAAATACTGATACAGGGCGGCACGGGTGCGCAAAATCACGTGTATATATGCGATAGATAGATAACTAGATGGTAGAGCATGGAGAGCCCACTGAGCTGCATGCATTCCATTCAATATAATGTGTGCATATTCAACAAATGGTATCCTATGTACCGCATATACAGTTAGGTCCATATATATTTGAACACAGGCACAATATTCATACTTTTGGCTCTGTATGCCACCAGAATAAATTAAAATGAAACAATCCAAATTAGTTTGGAGTGCAGACTTTCAGCTTTAATTCAAGGGGTTGAACATAAATATCAAGTACAAATTTTAGGAACTGCAACCATTTTTATACACAGTCCCTCCATTTTCAGGGGCTCAAATGTAATTGGACAAATGAATATAATCATAAATAAAATGTTCATTTTTAACCTCTTGCCGTCCGCCTGCTGTTTATAAACGGCAGGGCGGTGGCAGTCTAAGGTCGGGTTGCCGTTCCTAAACGGCACCCGCCTTTTCTAGCTGTGCGCGCTCCCTAGGAGCGCACACCACCGCGATCCGGTGTCCGCTGTGTCCTCCGGACACAGTGAAACACCGATCGTCGGACGGGACCTCTGTACGAGGTCCCGGTCATGTGATCACTGATTGGCGAATCAGTGATCACATGCAAAGTAGTAAGCAAGATGTCACTTGTGACATCATTGCTTACTACATGTGAAATCTGTGAATGATCACAGAGGTCACATGGTACAAGGCTATTCACAACAGCCTTGTACCATGTGACAAGCTGTGACCAATCACAGCTCACTCAGTATTTCTCAATGACTGCAAGAATGCAGACAGAGAGAAAGAGAAATGATTGCTTTTACATCCTATATGGGTGTAAAAGCAATCAGTGTAAAAAAAAAAAAAAAAAAATCTTCATCACCCCCCACAAGTAGTACAGTGTCACCATGGTGACACTGTACTGCTAGGGTGACAGTATGTAAAAATAAAAAATAAAAATAAAAAAATAATATAAAAAAAAATAAAATAAAAATGTAAAAAAAATGTTTAAAAATTATAATGTTTGGTTATAAACTAATTTGGATTTTTTTTTTTTACTAAAAAAATAACGGAATAAATTTTGGCCAAGATTTAGGATGAAATATTATTTATTTGCAAAATTTTATAAAAAAAAAACACTTTTTTTTCAAAATTTTTGGACTTTTTCATTTACATAGTAAAAAAAATAAAAATCCCAGCGGTGAATAAATACCACCAAAATAAAGCTTTATCTGTCTCAAAAAAATGGTAAAAAATTTATATGGGTACAGTATTGCATGACCGCGCAATTGTCATTCAAAGTGTGATAGCGCTGAAAGCTGAAAATTGCCCTGGACAGGAAGGGGGTAAAAGTGTCCGGACAGGAAGTGGTTAATATTTTATTGAGAATCCTTTACTGGCAATGACTGCAGGAAGTCTAGAACCCATGGACATTACCAAAGACTGGGTTTCCTCCTTTCTGATGCTTTGCCAGGCTCTATCTGCATCTGTCTTCAGTTGTTCTTTGTTTATTGGTCTTTCTGACTTTAGTTTTGCTTTCAGCAAGTGAAATGCATGCTCAATTGGGTTGAAATCAGGTGACTGACTCGGCCATTGCAGAATATTCCACTTCTTTTCTTTCAAAAGCTCCTGCGTTGCTTTTGCAGTATGTTTTGGATCATTGTCCATCTGTACTGTGAACTTTGCTGCATTTGGCTGAATCTGGGCTGACAGTATATCTGTAAACACTGCAGAATTCATCCGGCTGCTTCTGTCTTCTGTCACATCATCAATAAACACCAATGACCCAGTGCCACTGGAAGCCATGCATGCCCATGCCATCACACTGCCTACATCATGTTTTACAGATGACGTTGTGTGCTTTGGATTATGAGCTGTTCCAAGCCTTCTCCACACTTTTTTCTTCCCATCATTCTGGTACAGATTAATCTTAGTTTCATCCGTCCAAAGGATGCTTTTCCAGAACTGGTCTGGCTTTTTTAGATGTTTTTTGGCAAAGTTTAATCTGGATTTTCTATTCTTCAGGCTTATGAATGATTTGCACCTTCTGGTGAACCCTCTGTATTTGCTCTTGTGAAGTCTTCTTTTGATTGTAGACTTTGACAATGATACGCCCACCTCCTGGAGAGTGTCCTCCACTTGTCTGGATGTTGTGAATGGGTTTTTCTTTACCATAGAGAGGATCCTACGATCATCTACCACTGTCGTCTTCCATGGGCGTCCATGCCTTTTTATGTTGCTGAGCTCACCAGTGCGTTCTTCTTTCCTCAGAATATACCAGACTATTGATTTGGCCACTCCTAATGTTGCTGCTGTCTCTCTGATGGATTTGTTTTGCTTTTGAAGCCTTACAATGGCCTGTTTCACTTGCATGAACAGCTCCTTTGAACGCATGATGTGGGTTCAAAGAAATAGATTCCAAATGCAAATACCACATTTAGAATCAACTCCAGACCTTTTATCTGCTTAAATGATGAAGAAATAACAAGGAGTAGCCCACACCTGGCCATTAAACAGCTTTTGATTCAACTGTCTACTTACTTTTGGTCCCTTGAAAAAGGGGGGATGGTTACTCTTAAGAACTGTAATGCCTAAACCCTTCCTCCAATTTGGATGTACATACCTTCAAATTAAACCTAAGAGTGTGCACTTTCAGCTCATATCCATATATAACTATAGCTTGAACATGTTTTGGTAAATACCTGAAAAAATCTAAAATTGTGTCAAAATACTGTATACTGTATATATGGAACTAACTGTAGGTCCAAAAAGAAAGAATGAGGCATAGATACTCTTACTCTTTTCTTATAAATGAGAAGTATGGTCAAAGCTATTTTGGCCATTGTTATCTTCTGTGTAACAGGAGTGCACATAGTTCTTCACTCCTGTGCTCTAAATTCAGCTGACAGTAGGCTGAGGCCCACTGTCAGCTGACGTCACAGCCAGTCCATACTCTGCAGGGATCCCGACAATAATGTCAGGATCCGCCCAGATGCCTGAATGGCAGCTGGCTCAGCATGCCGCTGAGAGCCTGAGCCAGTGGCTCCCATGCCCTGCACAGCCTGGCTCTCCAATGAGCGGTGGAGGGGCAGAGCAGAGAGGCAGTGACTGACAGTCACTGCTCACTGCTCACTGAAGATCAAGGACTGAGAAATCAATGGTCATGTGATTATTATTATACAGTATTTATAAAGCGCCAATAGTTCGCTCAGCGCTGTACATTACAATGGGGGACAGAACATGTGACAGAACAATACCAATACAATGCAAAACATGAGGGGATTGAGGGCCCTGCTCTTTGGAGCTTACAATCTAGGCTGATGTGATCGCTCAGTTCTCAGTCTAGAGCTAGAGGGGGGACAGCTGCAGCATCAGATTGATGCTGCTTCCACATTAGAGAGTATGCAAGGTTTTTTTTGTAATCTTCTCTTTTAAGTATTTGTAACATGCACATGGAACAATAAAAACACCCTATCAGGCATCCATGCTCTATCTTAAGTTCACAAGTTTACCTGTGGCTCATCCTTTCTTCTTGAATTTATACATTTGAATAAAAAATTCCTTTAATATCTTCTGCCTCCTCTCTAATCAATGACTTGTTTACTGCAGGGTGGAAAAGACTTCAAAAGAGGAACCAGAATCGGAATCTATCAGTCTTGAAAATTCCTTCCAGGAGCCGAGAATGGTGAGACAACAGATATGGCCTTGCGGTGGGACATGCCATGCCAGGGAGATCCTACAGAGCCTAAATATCTATAGACAATGCGGAATTTTTACAGATGTGGTTCTCCAGATAGAAGATCAGACATTTCCCTGCCATCGAGGCGTACTATCAGCCAACAGTTCTTACTTCAGAGCCATGTTTGGAGGAAGCCTCAAAGAAAGCAACCTTAGTGTTATCAACATTCAAAAAATATCAGCAAGAATTATGGGCTGTCTGTTGGACTTCATGTATGGTGGGAACCCAACGATCCAAGAAGATAATGTGGAAGAACTCTTGCAGGCCTCAGATCTTCTCCACATCTGTAGTCTAAGAGATGAGTGTGTGAAATTTTTGGACAGTCAACTAGATCCTTCCAACTGTGTTGGCATCATGAAGTTTGCAGACATGTTCTCAATCCCTTCTCTCTCCGAGAAAAGCAAAAAGCTGGTGCTGGAAGGTTTCGAGGAGGTCTCCTGTCACGAGGAGTTCCTGCAGCTGAGCAAAGAGGAACTGACTGAGTATGTGTCCAATGACGACCTGGTGGTGAGTAAAGAAGAAGTCGTCTTTGAAGCTGTCATGAAGTGGTACAAAGAGAATAAGACCACTGGAACTAAAGCTTTGAAGGATCTTCTGGAACACGTGAGGCTGCCTTTGCTGGACCCTGCTTATTTCATGGAGAAGGTGGAAATTGATAAGACCATTCAAGGCTGTCCAGAGTGCTTCCCTTTGTTGCATGAGGCTCGGATGTTCCATATTCTTGGGAATCCAGTCAACTCGATCAGAGCAAGGCCAAGAAGGTAATGAAATAAAGACTTTTTTTTGCCTTTCATCCTGTCTTTGTGTTACATTAACCTAAACTTATATAGGCTTTTTTGATGTAAATGTTTTTGAGGCTCCACTACATTATTCTCACTACCACTCACATGTAGTCTTGAAATACTCTACGGTATGTGGGCTTGTGCCACCAGCTCTGTATTACAAAGGTGGAGGCTGGCACTAACCTCACCCAGAGGCACTACTAGTTACAAAACTATACATACCACTGCAAATGATACTGCAGAGGAACACTGTGCCCCAGAATAAGAACTCCTGTGGCTTTGAGTGTCACTTTGTGCTTAGTCTAATGCAGGGGCTGACTGACCATTTGGAAACTAGGGTACTGCTGAGGGCCCAGGGTCAGTAGGGAGCCCCATGAGATGCCCCTGGTACCTTTTACATAGGCTTTTTTGAGTTTGGGCAAGGACACAGGGGCCCCATGATCCCCTATTGCCCGGGGGCCCCATGAGTTGTCAGTCCGCCCCTGGTCTAATGTCATCGTTGAAGCGGTTGTGCACAATTATCCTTTAGTAACTAAGAAGAAACCCTCAAATGTGTTGAATAGAAAAATCAGCATTAACAAAAATAAAAAAAATAAAAATAAATATATATATATATATAATTTTGTTTAGAAGGTGTTTTTCTTAGGCAGGGTGGGGGATGTTTGGGGATTTATGTTGTATATTTTTTCTTTTTTTGAGCATTTGTTTGTGATTTGTGCTACTTTTTTCCATTATTTTACTGCAAATAAAAAACATAGACTATTAAAACTAATAAGGCACAAGAAAAAGTCTATGGCATATGTTACTCTCAGAAATCATTTAAAGCCCATTATACCCTTAACAATCACCAAAAACTATCTGCTTTTCTTATTCCCCATTGTCTCCAATGCATTTCACCAAATGATGATATGTTGCTGAATTCTTTTGATTTTCGATAATGGGGGAAATTAAAAATCTAAATTTTGCTTATCCCTAGTGTTCAGTCACTGAAAAATTTGGAAATACTATAAGTTTTCTTTTTCTTACACTTTCTTGCAGATTTGCAGACTTGTCGGAAGCCATCGTCATTATTGGCGGTTGTGATAAAAAGGGCCTTTTAAAGTTACCCTTTACTGAATGTTACTATCCAAGGAGTGGGCAGTGGAAGCCTCTTGCCAGCATGCCAGGATATACCAAGTCTGAATTTGCTGCCTGTACATTAAAGAATAATATATACATCTCAGGTAAGTGCTCATTCTGCTTGTCTACAAACCGTACAATTCAAGATACAGTACGCTTCCATCAATGACCAAAATGAGTATGAAGGAAATGGTTGAGTTTTTTTGAGTTGGTATTGAATTTTTACTTTAAAGCGTATCTTCACCCTGTAAAACTTTATCTCTTCGCTCCACCCCTCCTCTGGTCCTCAACATGGATTAAGAGGTTTTTTTTTCTCCTTTATTTACATTTTTTTTTTTAGGACAAATTTCACTCCCATCCCCACAGGACCTTTTTTTTTTTTTTTAATTTAAATATTTATTTGTTTTCAAAATATAGCAATATAAATATTTCCAACACAAGAAACAATAAAGTACAACATAACAACTTTCTTCTAAAAACACTTATTGCATATCATTTTCTCCCCTTAACCCCCTTCCCTCAACCCCCCCTCCCTCCCACCCCTCTTCAATAAACCCCTGACATCTGTCCGATTCCCATCTTTATTCTTATTTACGGAGTGACTTCTTTCTTCTTTGCTCTAAATTCCTCCCATTTCTTCCATTTTGTATTATAAACCTCCATCCTGTCTTCCTGTATATAATATAATTTCTCCATTCTAACAATCTGATCCACTCTGTCTATCCAGTCATCTACCTTCGGTGCCTCAACTTTACGCCAAAACCTAGGTATCAATCCTTTAGCTGCATTTAAGTAACACTCTATCAAAAAAGAATAAATACGAGCGCATCTATATAGCAGCTGAACATAAGGTACCAAACACCCTCAAAACAATATATATCACAAGATGCAGCGCTAATGACTATAACATATATGCATAAATCAAGAAATCTGTCATAAATGACTAAACAGTTGAAAGTTCATAAAATGGGTGACTTTAGTGCTCTCTTCTCCTATATATCCTCCTGATGGTCAGGCGTTTGTGCAGAATAGTGCTGAAGGGGTGCACACTCACCAGAACGCACAGATAAATGAGCGTTTATTATAGATTCCCCTTTAGGATCATCAACTGGACATGCTGTGGTATTACGACAAAACACCTTCCAGACCTCCTAGATGTTCCTGTATATTCCCTGGTTTAGATGACCTGCGTACTTCTCCTTAGGATCAGCATACGATTCGTACCCCACAGAGAGATGAGTGGCTAGAATGGGTACTCCCTGCTTAAAGTAGTATTGTTCATAGTAATTTTCTAATAATACTTGCTTCTAGCCTACATTGAGCAGCAGCTTTTGTGGAAAAGCTGCTGCTCAATGTAGGCTAGAAGCAAGTATTATTAGAAAATTACTATGAACAATACTACTTTAAGCAGGGAGTACCCATTCTAGCCACTCATCTCTCTGTGGGGTACGAATCGTATGCTGATCCTAAGGAGAAGTACGCAGGTCATCTAAACCAGGGAATATACAGGAACATCTAGGAGGTCTGGAAGGTGTTTTTGTCGTAATACCACAGCATGTCCAGTTGATGATCCTAAAGGGGAATCTATAATAAACGCTCATTTATCTGTGCGTTCTGGTGAGTGTGCACCCCTTCAGCACTATTCTGCACAAACGCCTGACCATCAGGAGGATATATAGGAGAAGAGAGCACTAAAGTCACCCATTTTATGAACTTTCAACTGTTTAGTCATTTATGACAGATTTCTTGATTTATGCATATATATGTTATAGTCATTAGCGCTGCATCTTGAAGTAACACTCTATACCCATATCTTTAAATTTTTTCATTGATATTTGTGTGATATGAAAAAGGCATATTTCAGGGTCCAAACCAATCTCAATTTCAGTGATATTCCTAATTTGATTTATAACCTTTCTCCAATAAACTTGTATTTTTGGGCACCCCCACCACACGTGATACGTTGTGCCCTCCTCTCCACATTCTCGCCAACACCCAGGTTGTTTCTCCCCACTCATTTTGTGCTCTACCATCGGAGTGATATACCACCTACTTAAACATTTTATAGTTCAATTCCACCTCCCGCATGCTAACATTTCCGTGTACCATTCTATATATTTTTCTTTGTGTATGTTCCTCCCACTCCACCCCCAAATCCCTTTCCCATTTTTTTCTATATATCTTAATTTTACCTTACTATCTAAATCAGTGAGAATTTTGTATATTTTAGCAGTGCCGTGTTTCCCATCACCTCGAATTTCATAAAATTTCTCAAATAAATTCCAATCCCTTTCTATTTCTAAGGGGCTTCGTCAGTTTCCCCACAAATTGTTTTAATTGATTATACCTCCATATGTCTATCTTAGTGAAAATCCCTCCCTCTTCCCTTTTCAAATCCTCTAGTGTTCTTAAGTTTACCCCCTCCATTACGTCTCTCAGCTGAGCATCTTCTTTCTTAATCCATTTACCCGTAATTTCCTCTTTACCTGGGGGAAAAAACTCTGAATTTCTCAGTGGCATTAACAGTGAATTAAACTCCCAATTCCTTAGTTTGTGCAATCTATCCCATTTTTCAAAACAATCCTAGTGTATGGACTCTCAGCTAATTCTCTAGCCAGCTGGCTACTGTACCACGCTGATGTGAGAGATCAGCAGTGCCTGCCCTGGATCCCGGTTCTTATCTGCGCCGCGACTCCCGGTTACTGCGCCTGCCATCCTCGCTTCCTCCTGTGGGACCCGCCTAGAGCGCCAGCCACGCAACACCTTGCCATTACAGCCATCCATTTGTGAGGTGCAGCACAGATGACATCCTCCTCCTTATATATTGATGCCTGATCTCTACCCACGTCTTGTGAGTTTTTATAATCTTGTGTGCAATAAACGTTTATATTCATACTGCACTTAGTCTGGCTCACTTCTCTTTCTTCTCCTTCATACAATCTTCCAATCCATCTCCTCATCCTGTTACCTAGTCCCAAAGCCTCTAGCGTATCCATCATGAAACTCCAATTAACCCTGTCAAATGCCTTCTCCGCGTCTATTGATAGCAATAGTACTGGATTCTTTCCCGTTCGACTTTTCTGAATAAGCATCAGGGATCTCAACCCATTATCTCGACCCTCCCTTCCTCTAACGAAGCCCACCTGATCCCCATGTATCCAATCTGGCATTAGATCCCTCAACCTATTCGCTAAAACCTTTGCATACAACTTCGTATCTGTGTTCAGCAATGATATCGGTCTATAACTTGAGCACTGGGAGATATCTTTACCTTCCTTATGAATCAAAACCACCTGGGCCTGTAGGGATTCCTGTCTCATCTCCATCTCTCCTCCCAACGCATCCATCCATATATCTCTTTAATTTAGGTAGTAGTAAGTCACTATATTTTTTATAGTACCTCACAGTATACCCATCTGGGCCCGGGCTTTTCCCCGACTTAAAGCTTTTTAATGCTGTTTTTAGTTCTTCCTGTGAGATTTCAGATTCTAAGGAGTTTAATAGTTCTTCGCTTAATTTTGGTAATCCTGCATTTCTTAAATATTCTCTTCTTTTCTCCTCATTTACCTTTTTGATCTTATTTGTAGGGTCGTTGGGGGCAATATTATATAATTTACTATAGTAATCCTTAAAAACTTTTGCGATTTCTTTAGTTGAGTGGACTAATTCTCCCTTAAAATTTTTTATTTTTATCTATATAGTTTCTATTTTTTTTCTTCCTCAGAGTTCTCATCAAATATTTTCCCGGTCTATCTCCCCATCTATATCTTTCACCCGTGATTTTATGAAAAAATTCTCGTTTTTTTTCTTCCTCCAACACTTTCTCTAATTCTTCCCTCTTTTTTATCTTTTTTTTCTTCTATCTCTTTCGTTATATTACTTTTATGTAGGAGTTCCAATTCAGCTATTTCCTTTAAGAGCTCACTAATCCTTTCTCTCCTTTCCCTTTTTTTCTTTGCCCCAATCGCAATTAGGATTCCTCTGATATATACTTTATGCGCCTCCCACACTGTAGCCCTTGATACATCTCCCGTTTCATTTTCCTCAAAAAATCTCCCTATCTCCTCCCTAATTTTCCGTTCAGTATCTTGATCCATGAGAAGTGCCTCGTTCAACCTCCATGTCAGTCCTCTCGACGACCTCCCTCCCCATCTTAATTTTAACGCAACAGGGGCATGATCTGAAAGGGTCATTACTTCTATCTTAACACTAGACAAGTCTTCGATGAGCCGATGGTCTATCAATATATAATCTAATCTGGAGTATGTTTTATGAGCGTTAGAATAAAAGGTATAGTCTCTGTTTCTGTTGTTTACTATTCTCCAACTATCCACCAATTGGCTCTCTCTCATCACCTTCTTCAATATTCTCATCGACTTGTTTCCCTCTCTCAGCCCTGTAGAAGTTGTGTCTATTTGTGGATCCATACATAGGTTAAAGTCTCCTGCCACTATTAAATATCCCTTAGAGAAATCCATCAATTTCTTCAGAACCCCTTTCAAAAACATCTCTGGTTTCCTTTTAGGACAGTATATATTTGCTAGCATACACTCAATATCTTGCAATTTGCCTTTCAAAAACAGAAACCTCCCATCCGGATCGGTATTCCTATCTTCTAGTTCAAACCTAACATTTTTTGCAAATCCTATAGCCACCCCCTTCGCTCTCTTAATTGGGGAATCCGCATAATACCAAACCGGATGGTATCTAGATTTCAACTTAAGATTTTTTTTTTAACTCAAGGTGCGTTTCTTGCAAGAATACTACTGAGGCCGCTGTATGCTGTAGTTCTCTAAATAACCTAAATCTTTTACTTGGGCAGTTTCAGCCCATTTACATTATGAGTTATAAACTGTATTTCCTCCATCTTTTGTTTATTTGTCGTCTTTCTATTTTACCATCTCCTTTCTTCTTCCATTTCCCTCTATCTCTTCTTTTATGCCAGATGTCAGTTTTAAAAAACCCCTCTCCCCCCCCCCCCTTCCAATTCCCACCCTCCCTTCCACTTTAGGCCTATAACTTGCCTTCCCCCCTCCTCCTCCCTCCCGCCCACCCATTTTAGGCTTGTAGTTTGCCTATAAATCTGTTGAGGATCTAAACCCTTCATAGATTTTGTACCTTGGGGTTGAGCTCCTCCCATGGACGGCCTCTCCCACCTCCCACCCCCCCAGATGCCCCTTGTCTATTTCATAAACTCAAGAAGGTTCCACTAAGATGTACTTCCTTTGGGCGAACAGGAAGTAGGGAGAAAGAGAAAAGAAAGAAAGAGAGAGAGAGAGAGAGAGAGAGAGAGAGAGAAAAACTCCTCTATCTTCCCCTCCCAATTAACTGCCAGTCTTCCTTTACTCTAGCGCCACTATCTCCTACCTCCTCCTCCCAACCAGAAATTTCTATAGTTTGCAAATCAAGTCTATTACAAAAGTCTCTTAAATCCTCAGGAAATCTCAAGTAGGCTGTAACTCCATTCTTCCATCCGATTAGACACTCAGGAATACCCCATCTATAGTGCACATTTTGTTTTTTCATTTGCTCTAACAGGGGTTTCAAAGATCTTCTTCTCCTAAGTGTCTCTGTTGTCAAATCTGCAAATATCTGTACATTTATTTCTCCATATTTAATATTTGATCTTCCCTTAATCTTTCTCCATATCTCTTCTTTATCACACATCTTTTGGAATCGGACAATTATGTCTCTGGGTTTCTTTTCTCCATTTCCATGTTGGATCCTTCCAATTCTAAAAACCTCTTCCAGATTCACCTGTTCTGTTTCTGGTCTATCTCTTATGGAGTTTAAGATTTTACAGATAAAGTCTCTCACTTCCTCTTTCTTCACGGACTCCGGGATACCTTTTACCCTAAAGTTTCTTCCTTCTTTCCCTGTTTTCCTGTATTTCCATCCTATACAACAGTCTTTTTTGCTCTTTCTTAATATCTTTTGTCCTTTTTTCTAAGCCAGAGATAGATTGGGCGTGATTTTTAATTCTTTCCTCTGTCTCCTCCATCCGCAATAGTAGCTGCCCTAAATCACTCTGTATGATTGTCAGTTCTTGTTTTATTGTTTTTTCTAGACTTTTGAACATATCTGCCATCTCTTTCTAATTTGGTACTTGCAGTTCACTTTCCAGATTTTTCCTCTCCACATTCTCTAATATTTGTTGGCTATTATGCTTTTTTCCCAGGGAAAGTCTCGGGCTAGCTTCCAAGCTCATTTCCAGCTCACTTTTATCACCGATATCTTGAGATCTTTCTGGGGTCACATTACCTTGAGACGTATATTTTTTTATCGTGCCCACTTGGGACCCCTTTAGCCCACTACTTTTAACGTTTTTATTCTTCATCTCTTCTGTGGGTTTTATTCAATTTTAAATACAGGAACCACCTTGGTTTAACAGCTACAGACCAGGTATCTAGGTTTCAACACGTGCTTATTTTCCACTTTCCCACTGTGCTCTCCTTCTTCTTGCAGGGCTGCTAGTTACTTTTATACTTAATCTTCCCCAGGGAGTCTACCCCTCTTCAAACATACAGTCACCATATAATTACAGTTTGCTAGGTCGTGCTGCTCACACTCACACTCCTCTAGTTGCTTTTCTTCTGGTGAGGCAGCCACGAGCCACCAGCTGCTAACTTCAGCTTCCCACTGCTCTCTTCAGGGGGACTCCTCTGGATCTTCTTCCCCAGACCCTACTCCCCTGTGTACAAGCTCAACACACACGGGGAGTGGGTCATCCACTACACGAATGTCTTCTCCTGCAGGTTTTGCAGGGGGGGGGGGAGCGAGAGGGGGGGAGCGAGCCGGCGTCTTCACTCTCACTTCAGATGCCGGCCGGCTTTCTCCCCTTCCCAGTAGTGCTTTGCGTTTTCCACGTGTCTGTCTGCTCCGTGACTCCCCGCTCTCCCAGCAGCCCCGCACGTTAGTCCGGACCTCCTGCAGCAAGCCCCGCCGTCCAGCACACCCTCCTCTCTCCACTCCCAGGCCGCTGGACCCGCTCCAGAGCCGTTGCTCGTGGGTAAGTCCCCGGGTCTCTCTTATGCTGGCATCTGGGGTGGTGTAGGTGATTCGGAGAGCACCCGCTCCGTGCTCTCCTACGCCGCCATGACAAGGCTCCCCCCCCCGACCAGTCATCACATCATTCAATCCCATCCCCACAGGACCTAAGCGAATGAGGTGTACTTTCCTCCCTTTGCCTCCTGGGGTATGCACGTCACATATCCCAGGAGGCATAGCCTTTCATTCAGCAAAGGAGGATGGGGTGGACCTATTGGTACATCATTGAGAGGTTTGCCTGTTGAATCTGGACCAGTCTTCAGCCTATCGATGACTTTACAGGCAACCATGGCGGCACGGGACCTAGCATTGCCAGAAGAGAAGAAGTTCTCAGCTAGACAGCGCTAGATCTGCTGGGTGGGTGAGTATGCTGACTCACCTAGGGGTAGGCAGGGGTAATTAAAAAAAAAATATGGAAGGGGGGAGAGTGAATATCCGCTTTAAAGTGGAACTATATTAAAAATAATAAAATAAAATAAAATTGCGAGCTGGTTGGATTTTTATTGCAGAAGAAACATAGCACGTCTGTTGTGCAGTAAAACAAACTTACCTGCCTGTTCTTAATCTTCTTTACAAAGTGCATTGAGTGTAGTGCACATTTTTTGGCATGCCATGGTGCCAGAATGTACTTTTTGCATTCACTTCGGTTACATCACTCTATCCAAGGCTATCAAGATGGCTGAGGATCCTGAACCCGGAAGACGACTGGCTAACGATATTGGCTCTGGTGAGGGAGTAGAGTATAAGACCACTAAAAATCTATAAATGCATTTTATATGTAACTTTTACGTTTCAGTTTTCATTTTTACTTTACAAATTATAATCATTTTGATACTAGATGGGGTCAACATCCAATTTTGAATATCATAGATACCCTTCCTAAATTGTCGACAGCCAATTTTTTTTGTTGCGTAAGGAAGGAATTAGTTTGTCAGTCTTGATTGGGGAGATTCTCTTTACTTCTTGAGCTGGAGATGCAACAAGAAGCGAAATCTCACTAAAGCAAGAGGACCTCAGCTATCAATGGTTCTCACTGGAAGATCTCCCGTCACCTTCTGTTCCATTGACTAATGTAAAATTTTGAATTTCCCATCACATTGTCTACTAGTCCCAGCAGGGACACATACAACAATAAAACCCTAGCAGAGGCTGTAACCCTGTGTCAGGAATGGACTTGCCAGTGGTGGTGGGACTCACCTGCCTTGTGGGCTGCAGTACCAGGGCTGGCCAGCGGGTGCTCTCAGCAACCAGAGGCTCACTCCTGCAATGAGCCATCACCTGAGGCTGATTACAGAAGGTGTATTTAAGGAATGGCCAGGCCTTGATCAGGGTCTTAGTGTATGTTTCCCATGAGCCCCTGTACCTGCATCCTGTCTGCTTCCTGCCTGATCCTGATTCTGCTTTAATCCTGACTCTGCATGAACTCTGCCTGTCCTGACCTCGGCTATTCCTGACTACCCTTCCGCCTGCTCCTTGTACCTTGCCTGCCCATTTGCTACCGACCCGGCCTGCCCGACTACGTTTAGTATTGTTCCTATTGTTATCTGTTGGAGGTTTGGTTGCTCTGTGTTTATGTTTAGTCTTGCACTGCGTTTATGTATTGTTTAGTCTTTAATAAATTGTATTGTTTATACTATACCTGGAGCCTGTGTTTCCCTGTGTCAGTCCACACATTTCTGGTCATACTAAGATCCCTAACACCCTGTAAGGTATAGAATAAGAGGTTGTTCTAAACTATGTGATCTCCATTGTTGTCCTTCCTCAGGTGGACATATTAACAGTAGTGATGTCTGGATGTTCAACACTCAGCTCAATGCCTGGATCAGAATTGCCTCGTTAGCAAAGGGCCGGTGGAGGCACAAAATGGCCATTCTGAACGGAGAGGTAGGACATTTTAAACATTTTTTTTTAGAAAGTAGGAAACCCATTATATGGATTGAGGAAGCAGAAGGCATTGCTGCAACAAACTTACCTTCCCTATTCACTACAGACATGGACTGCTGGCAATGAGCAAATTCAGAGTAGTAATTTCCTTGACATCTTGGTGACGGCCCATTCATACTTGAGCGGCGCCAGGTACTGTGGTAATGTGAACACGTCTGTTTAGTGTGTATTGCCACAACACACAAGTATGAATGGGCCCTCTAAATCTGGAATGCTGGGGTCTAGGCTTCTCCACTCTAGCAAAATGTTTCTTTTAATGTTGGAGAGATTCCCCCTCACCTCTTGTGTTTGTGACAAGGTTGTCACTGTCACAGGAAAGGATGGAAGCAGGGGCGGAGTGACAACTCATGGGGCCCCCAGGCAATAGGGGATCATGGAGCCCCTGTGTCCTTGCCCAAACTCAAAAAAGCCTATGAAAAAGGTACTAGGGGCATCTCATGGGGCCCCGGGCCCTCGGGCAGTGCTTGAGTTTCCAAATGGTCAGTCCACCCCTGGATGGAAGTTTCTCCCCATCAAGACATAAAATGTAGCATCCATCCTATCTAAGCCCATACAACTTGTCATGCGACTTTGGACAGACAGGGGTTGATTTACTAAAGGCAAATGGGCTGTGCACTGCAAGAAAATAAAAAAAACTGCATTTTTGCTTACACATGATTGGATGAAAGAAATCAGCAGAGCTTCACATTTATAAGAGCTTCCCCTTGGATAGAAAGCAACTGCACTTGCTGTGCACAGTATATATACCTTTAGTAAATCAACCTCAAAGAGTTGCATGATAAGTTGCATCCCTTGTATTTCAATGGAAGCCGTTCAAAGCGATGCGACTTAAAGTTGCAGCGACTTTAAAAAAGGTTCCTGCATTACTTTGATATGACTTTCATGCGCCTCGTGTGCCATAGACTACAATGTGAACTCTCAAAAGTTGCATGAAAGTCACATCTTAATGGTATCCATGCAACAGTTGTGCAGCAGTCAAAGCCAAAGTCATCAGCCAAAGTCGCATCCAAGTTGCACCAATCCAAAGTTGCATCAAAGTTGCACCAAAGGTCACCGTGCTAAGTTGGAATGAAAATCGGAACAGTTTGAGTCGCAAAAGTGTGAATGGAGCCTGAAACAAAATTTTACTTGATGTTTCACTCAACAAAACAAAAAACAAAAAAAAAAAACACTGGAGTTGATTTACTAAAATCAAAAAGACTGTTCACTTTGCAAGCGATGGCAGAGCTTAGTAAATGAGGTGAAGCTCTGCTAACTTAACTATCACCCAATTATGTGCAAACAAAACTGCTGTTTTTAATTCCTTACAAGTAATGTTTGCAAAGTGAAATTTCGCCACATTTACTAAGCTTTGCGGAAAATTCCCTTGCAAAGTGAACAGCCTATTTGCCTTTAGTAACTCAACCCTACTGTCTTCACACGTCTTTGCATTGCCTTTCAGCTGCAGTGAAAGTGAATGGCACTGTGTGTGACCACAGGGCTGCGAATAAGGGGGTACCACCAGTCCTCCTGTACAGGGCCCAGGCCAGCAGGGGGGGTCCAAGCAGATGGGTGTATCGGATCTGGGCAGGGAGACTGATTGGCAGGTTGGGGGGTGTACAATTACTGGAACCGATCCCCTGTGTGGCTCTTTCTGCAGCAGCTGAGCCATACAGGGGATCAGTTCCAGTAATTTCCCCTGCTCCCATCACTCTCCTTGTGCACCATATGTTTTCCCCTGCTGCCCAGGCCCCCCTGTGTGCCATTACCCCCTCCTCCTTCCCACTGGCAGCTGCAAGCACACAATAGGATCCTTCAGGATGGAGAGAGAGGGAAGGGTAAGGTAAGTATGTCATATTTACCAGCCCCTTCCTTTTCTGAATGAACAAAATGAGCGATCAGTACCAATCACTCACTGTGTTCATTCATAACTGAAGCATAGTAAATGGCAGTTTTTGGGGCTGGGCTGTCAGATTGGCTGTATGGGGCCCTGTGGTTTCTAACAGCAGCCCTGTGTGACCATACAATGTTTGGGCAGTTGCAGCATTTGTTCTTTATGCAAGAGACATACGAACTTCTGAAAAATTCGATAAGTTGTGGTTTGGCTTAACTTTTTAAACATTTCTTGGTATTTCCATTGAAGTCAAGGCAAGTCTAACCTGTCTCCGAAAAAGTATGTATTACAGAGCATCAAATAATGCAAAATTGTGTAGAATGGTTGGGAAAGCCTGAGCCATCTCTACCGAAGATACTAAGGAGAAAGGGTGGGATTTGGTAGCACTGGCACCCGGTTAAAGATGCAACACCAAAACTTGGATTTAACCAGAGCATCCGAAATAATAAAATCTGGCACTTGCATAATTTTTAGGGGTTGTTTTACCAGCAAGTGCCGATACTTTCGGCCAAGTACTTGCCAATACCGAGTACCGATACCTTTGCGGTGTGATCTGAGCCCATAGAAAATGAATGGGCTCAAATTGCACTGCAAAGAATTGTAAGCGATTTGAGCAAGAATGCAGTGCGATTCCTGTCTGACACCCCGGTCATCATCAGGCCGATTTTGAATATTGTGCGACTTACAGTGAAGTCATACAATTTTAAAATCGGCGACCTGCTGATTTCATTGCGATTTGCATGACATCCGACACAGACGTCTATACAAATTGCAGCAAAAGTAGTATTCCACCCTTGGATGGATCGGTGACTGGCGATAGGAAGTGGGCAGATATGCTTCAGAGGTGTCATTTCATCCAATGCTGGTTTGCTGCTTACTTCTGGTGAGTGCATAATGGTGGAGGAGTAACATGGAAGTCACGGGGGTCACAATCATTTTTTGGTCACCATTTGATCACATCACTGTCTGGTTATTTGGTCAAGTTCTTTTTTGGGACACATCACAGTGGATCAATTGCGTCCCAGTCATTCCTATATTGGACATTCTGTACTGGTTATTTATTGAATTGTTTGGTAACACATTTATACCTATTTCATATATTCTAGCGCCGCACCATTTGTTCATATGCAACAAAAGTAGTGCATGCACTACTTTAGAAATCGGTGCGGCTTCGACCAAGTCGAAACCGCATTGATATGACCGCTCTAATAGCGGACAATAGGGTGCGACTTGACATATGATTTGCAAGTCGCATGGCATGCAAATCACACATTCAGTTTCCCGCATAGCTGCTGTGTGAACCCAGGCTTGTCATAGTGACCTTGAGCCTGAGCTCACACAGGAGCGGTTCCGGAAACGGCAAGAGGGGTTCCAGCACCTCCAGCTCCTGATCCGACTGTGGACATCAGCGGCTGTGACTTGGGATCCTCCTGCCTCGGCCATGCTCTCTCTTCTCCCAGCCTTCAGGGGTTCCAGCCATCCACTGAACCACTTCCCTATCCTCCCCGGTCCTCTTGTTACCAGATTGCCGATCCCCTGCTGTCAGACAATGAAAAGCCGCTTCACAAGTCCGGAGATTTTAAATCCCTGCAGCTTTCTCTCCTCTCCTTGCAATGCTGACAGTATGGACTATATGGATTCTAATTGGTCAACACCGTCACATGGGTGGTTCTAACCAATCAGAAGCCATCTAGCCCGTACTGTCAGCACTGCAAGGAAAGGAGAGAAAGCTGCAGGGATTTCAAATCCCCGGACCTGTGAAGCGCGTTTGTTGTCTGACAGTGGGTAATGGCAATCTTGTACAGCGAGACTAAGGGGGGATGGGGAGGTGGCCCAGTGGATGGCTGGAACCACTGGAGGCTGGGGGAGAGAGCCATGGGAGAGGCAGGAACAGGGGCGGACTGACAACTCATGGGGCCCCCAGGCAATAGGGGATCATGGGGCCCCTGTGTCCTTGTCCAAACTCAAAAAAGCCTATGAAAAAGGTATCAGGGGCATCTCATGGGGCCCCTACTGACCCCGCTTTTTTCACAAGGTGGTATAGCAGCGCCTAACAGGCACTGAGGATATGCTACCACTCCTGCATACCTTTTTTTACAGGTATTTTTCATATGTACAATTTTTCAATGCAGAACCTTACTGCAACTGTGAGACGAACGCTTTCGGAAGTATTCAGCTTGCAGTTGCGGTGCAGCCCCATTGAACTCAATGGGCGTGCTTGACAGGGGGTGCCACCTGTCAGATTCTACACCCCAAATTAAAAACGCCACGGCCGCAAGCCTCTTTTGTATTGTTTCATTTCAGGAGGGTGGCCAGGGGGAGCAAAACCATGGGTTAGCTGCCTGTTTTTAATGTTTAGTTAGAGCCAGTTCACACTACTTTCAGTTGCTTTTTTTCTGCATCCAAAACGCACAGAAAGTAGGTTATATGGTTGTCAATGTCATAGTTCACATCAGTGCTTACAGTTCCAGTGCATTCCAATGCAGAAAAGAAGTAGAAGTAGAACAGGCTGCATTTTTTCTGCACAGAACTGTACAGGAACATGGTAAAATGCATCAAAAAGACACTAAAACGCACTGGAATGCACATGTCGCTATTTAAATCAAAGAAAAAGAGAGGGGGAAAATGAACTGGAATGCTTAAAAATGCACTGGAACACTTCACAAAAGCATCAAAAACACACCAGAACACGCCAAAAACGCGTCAAAACACGCATGCAAAAATGCATCTGGACCGTTTCTATATAGTGTGAACAGGGCCGGTTCACACCATAGCATAAAAGCAGTCCAGATGCGTTCAGGATGCGTTTTTGTATGCATGTTTTTGACTCATTCCGGTGCATTTTTTATGCATTCCATTTTTTCCCCTCTTTCTTCTTCAGTTTAAATAGGGACGTGCTTTCCAGTGTGTTTTTGGTGCGTTCTAGTGCGTTTTACCCGTTTATCTGCCCGTTTACGGATGAAAAATGGACACCCATGTATTTCTATGGACTAGCGGATGTAAACGGATGATCGTCTGTTTACATCAGTTAATGTCCACGTCCGTTAACATCTTTTTTTTGAATGTAAGAAAACCCTATTTTTCTTCCATTAAAAAAAAACAGAACGGATCAAAAACAGATGTAAATGGACAAAAACAGATGTAAACAGATGAAAAATGGATGTAAATGGACAAAAACAGATGTAAACGGATGAAGAATGGATATAAACCGATGACAAACTGATGTAAACGGATGAAGGATGGATATAAACCGATGACAAACTGATGTAAACGGATGAAGGATGGATATAAACCGATGACAAACTGATGTAAACTTATGAAAAACGGATGTAAATTGATGAAAAAGTGATGTGAACTGATCTGTTTTTTCGTGGAAAAACCGTGACTGAACTGATGAAAAAAAACGAAAGTCCGTGTGAAAGGGGCCTAACGTGGGATTATCACATAATGCGATTTGGGGCTCTTTCACACAAATGTTCTGATCGGGTCCGCCTGCCTGTTTTTCCGGCGGGCCCGATCGGAACCTCGATTCAACTCTATGGAGATGTGTCCGTTTACACCCGCCGACATCCAATCCAATCCGCCAAAAAGGGACAGATAGGGATCCAATTCCCCTTCCGTCTGTCGGACACACAGTCTGTTTTCATCCGACCGCTGTGCAGCAGCGGAGCGAACACAGAGCAGTCATCCGCTTGATCAGCGGGGATCAGTGGAGAGATCCCCCACTGAGCAAGCGGATCCGCTAAACGGGTCCGCCCCGTGTGAAAGATCCCTAATATACTCCCTGAAAATACTTTGGGAGATAACAATGTATATTTAGCAATTAGCTTTTATATCCCGGTCAGGGGCGGACTGACCATTCGAGCACTAGGGCAATGCCCGAGGGCCCGGGGTCAGTAGGGGGCCCCATGAGATGCCCCTGGTACCTTTCATTGGCTTTTTAATAGGCTTTTTTGGGTGTGGGCGAGGACACAGGGGCCCTACGATCCCCTATTGCCCGGGGGCCCCATGAGTTGTCAGTCCGCCCCTGATTCCGGTCGTCTTTCTAAATGTGTTGATTGTTCAAAAGGGATCTATTTTCCTTGCATAATAAAGCAAACAATGAATGTATCCCACTTTGATTTCCTAGATCTACGCTGTTGGTGGCTTTGATGGAATGAAAAGGTTGTCCACGGTGGAACGCTACAACACATTCTCTAACACCTGGATCCCAGGAACTCCCATGTTGGAAGCTGTGAGCTCCGCAGCAGTGGTGACCTGTATGAACAAGCTCTATGTCATTGGAGGAGCAGTAGAGGATTATGGGAACACAGACAAGGTGCGAAGATCAGTTCTATAAAGGCCACCAGGTTCTCCACTCCCAACATAAGCAAATTGATTGACAATGTCTGAAGAATACCAGTTTTATATGGATTTAGTAAGCTCACATATACTGTATCAATGAGTGATACCAATCTTACAGGGATTCCCAGTGGAAGATATTCCCAATTGTAAAAAGTTGGATTTCATGACACTTTTGGTCCCGTGACATTGGCCACCAGGACAAGCCTCCATTCATTGCTCATGTGTTCCAAGTGAATGCTTAAAACATGCACACATCTGCTGTTCCTTAGCCTGTGGTCAATATCTCCAGATCAGCAGCATATAGTAGTTTACAAAAATGTTGTCAGATCCTTGTAATATATACTTGAAACTTCTTTTTTTAACCAAGTTGAACTTTTATTTCTTTCCAGGTCCAGTGCTACGATCCTGAAGAAGACAAATGGGCTTACCAGTCTGCATCACCCTTCTCCCAGAGGTGTATCGGTGCTGTTGAGTTGGATGAAATGATCTACGTTGTTGGGGGTTTGTTGAGCACAATATTCAAATACAACCCAAAATCAGATGAATGGAGTGAAGCCGCCTCCCTGCCCAGCGCTCTGGTGAGAGTACCATCTGTCATTTATTTAACTAATAATCGTAGGCATTGGTTTTGTACATACTGTAGCTACATTGGTCCAGCTTGTACCAATGTAAGTAGGCATAGAACATACCTGGAAGATCTCCCTGGAAGATCCGCCTGGAAGATGACTTTGGAAGATCCTCCTGGAAGATCCCCTGGAAGATCCCCTGGAAGATGCCCCTGGAAGATCCTCCTGGAAGATGCCCCTGGAAGATGCCCCTGGAAGATGCCCCTGGAAGATCCCCTGGAAGATCCTCCTGGAAGATGCCCCTGGAAGATCCTCCTGGAAGATGACTCTGAAAGACTCCTGGAAGATCCCCCTGGATCTCCCCTGGAAGATGCCCCTGGAACTCACTGAAGTAGATATCACTACTGCAGCGATCTCCACTTGCTCCTGGGTCCTGTGCTGAGCGACTGCACCTCTGCTTACTGAGCACAGGAGCTCGGCCACCCAACATGTCCCAAGGGGACAGAAGAGTTCTCTGCTTCTGCATTAGCTATATAGCTATACTGAAGCCGTCATAATGTAGCAGTAGGTGGACACAGAAGCATATTTTTCACAGGGTTGGTTGCTGTTTTTTTTAATATTAATTGATCATCTAGTACAACACAATAATTAAAAACTGTTAAAGTGATTGTAAAGGCAGATTTTTTTTTTCACGTGCTCTGTGCAATGGTTTTGCACAGAGCAGTCCCGATCCTCTTCTTCTCCTGTCCCTCGCCAGTGCTTCTGGCCCCTCCCTCCTGCCAATTGCCTCCATAGCAAGCAGCTTGCTATGGGAGCACCAGAGCAGGCTCGCACCCGAGCCGCTGCTCTGTGCATCCATTCACATACAGATGCGGCTTGGCCCCACCCCCATTCTCTCCTCATTGGCTCACTGCCTGTGATTGACAGTAGCGGGAGCCAAAGTTTCAGCCAATGAAGGGGGGGGGGGGGTCCTTTTAAAATGGAGGATCTAATTGAAGCCCACAATTCAAGCAGGTAGGCATTGTACTTGCAACTGCATTTTTTTAAATCTTACCCCAGGGGAGTATTTATCACAAGGCAAACAAGGCAGCATTTTTCAGGGGGACACAAGCAGCATGGGGACCAGGTGGGATCTGAAAGAGGCTGCGGGCTGCTTGATGGTGTATGCAGAGCCCCGACTCTCGTTCCCGGGGATGTCCAGAGCTGTGAAGGGGAGTGTCTTTCTCTCTGTTACTGGGAAGGGGGTGTGTTGGTCGGTGTCAGGCTATCTCCGCCGGGGGACGTCTGATTTTTGTGTGGCCTAGGGCAGCAAAAAACCTAAAGACACCACTGCTTACCCCCACTTTCCTGTTATAGTAGCTGTGCAGGTTGGTTTATTATGAGTGCACAGTTCATTAGGTAAGAAAGGCCAAGGTACTCATTAATCGGCACACACAGGCAGACCTGGTGAGAAACGCCCTCCTATCTTCCTCTACATTTGGATATGTAGCACCCTCTTAATGCAGCTAGGGGGAGCAACACCCCAATGGTTAGTCAGGAGCTGGTTAGCAGCTCAGGTGTAATAGCCACACTCTAGTCAAATTGTGGTCAGGGCTGAAAGTATCTGCAGGCCAGCCCTCTGACACCCTCTGAAATTTCCCTCTGCTCTGAGGATTTCGGAGGAGGGCCTTGGAGGCAGTGGGTGGATCTGAAAAGTGGTTGGCTACACTCTTGAGGGACCTCAGCCAATCCCCAACAGAAGGCTTGGCAAGGGGCTGAAACTTCCTTAATAGTATAAGAGCCTACTCAGTAGGGGGGGAGGAGTGATGGGGGAGTGTGGAGAGTCAGGTATGAAGATGTCATGCTGGAGGAGGAAGGCTGTCAGGAGGCCTAGTGAGATGGGGCTTGCCTGAGAGTCTGTGAGTGAGTACACCTGCGCTCCCTGGGCTGGGCGGATAGGGGAAGGAGCACTCTAGTGGGAAACTAGATTAGCCCCCTACTAGTGACTGGTCACCTCGATTAAAGGGACAGGAGCCAGATTCCCTGCTCAGGAAGAAAGTCTCCAGATTGCTAGGTGAAGAGGAGTTCATCTAGGGTCTGGGGTGGTACAACTAGGAACTGCTAGCTAGCACTCCAACAGAGACTGCATCAGAGAGGAGAAGCTTGTGAATAGTTCAGGAAGGTGTCCTCAGATTGCTGGGTGAAGAAGAGTTCATCTAGGGTCTGGGGTGGTACAACTAGAAACTGCTGATGGCTAGCACTCCAACAGAGACTGCATCAGAGAGGAGAAGCTTGTGAATAGTTCAGGAAGGTGTCCTCAGATTGCTGGGTGAAGAAGAGTTCATCTAGGGTATGGGGTGGTACAACTAGGAACTGCTAGCTAGCACTCCAACAGAGACTGCATCAGAGAGGAGAAACTTGTGAATAGTTCAGGAAGTTGTCCTCAGATATCGGTTCCCTTGGGCATCCTATACCCCCTTACCCTATCCAAGTTCTAATTCCCTCAATAAAATAACGAAACCAACGCCCAAGGACTGATTTCTGCCTCTGAATGCAAGCTTTTGTGGAAAATGCTGAATGACTGGCTGTGCAGGACTATAGGGGGACCCAAATTCATCAGCAATCCCTAAGGGGGTAGTGCTACAGATACTTTGAATGAGGGGTGTGGCTGTTACTCAGCTCTGCAAACACAGAGCACTGGAGTAGCAGAACAAGAAGCTGCATTTTTCTTTAGGCAAAATGGTATTTGTAAGCAAAAATCAAATGTGTTATCAGATTTTTCTTTCGCTAATTAAAACAAAAATTCTGATTTGTAGGAGAGCTGCGGAGTGACCGTTTGCGGTGGGAAAATTTACATCATGGGCGGACGGGATGAAAACGGAGAAGGAACCGAAAAATCTTTTGTGTACGACCCGAAAACAGGACAAGTTAATGTGGAGCCCCCTCTACAACGCTGTACCAGCTATCACGGCTGTGTTACCATCTTACACAGGCCAGAGCCATAATGTGTTATTTAAGACCCTCATCCCGTGCCAAAAACACAGTGACCTCTGGTTTACGGACTTACTAAAACTGTAAATGTTATTTTCATTGATAGTCAATGTTTCCCAAGCCGATAGGTGCATCTATTTTGGTATGTACTCATGTGCAGATTATAGACAGGTGTGTAATGTACACCATTTTGTTGTACTATTATTTTTATATAGAAATTATTTGTGCTGTGTGGTATTGTCAGAAGCGTGGTAAGGTTGGGCATTTATTAAAACCAGAAAATCGTGCAATCCAGTGGCAAAGAATTGGATCAAGCAACTGTACTATGACACAGAAAACTGAAGAGACTGTAAAAGGCCGAATACACTATTGTAACTGGCCAGGAGATTCTTTTCAACACGAGGAGTGAATACGGAGAATATTCAAATTCTGAAAGAAACAGTGCTGGTTTTCTGCACAGAATTTTATTGCATTTTGTTCAAATGCCCAAAAATGAGAGACAACCGCAGAATGAACAAGCTGCATGTAATCTGATCCTTGTGGGTAATCAGTTGTTTTAATAAATTTTAATGTTTCCTGGAGCCTGATAATGATAGATAAATGGCTATCTAGAAGGACATGACAGCAAATGACACATCTGGAACTCGTGAATTCTGGCCATGTTTTGTCTGATATGTTGATTTCCTATGATTTCCAGCTCCATCTAGTGGCTAATACTGTATTATGGCCACTACATGGAGCCAGGGCCATGGATAAGGGGGTACCACCAGTCCTCCTGTACGGGGCCCAGGCCAGCTGGGGAGCCCAGACGGCTGGGTGAATTGGATGTGGGTAAGGAGGGTGATCAGCACAGCGGGGGGGGCAATTACTGGAACTGTTCCCCTGTATGGTTCCCTCTGCAGGAGCTGAAAACTGGCTCTTTCCTCTCTCCCTCCCGCTGATTTTTAGCTGCTGCAGAGAGCCATACAGGGGATTGGTACGAGTAATTTTCCCTGTACCGCACCCATCACCCTCCCTTTGCCCAGCCCCCCCCCCCCCCCCCCCGTGTGTCCCCACCCCCTCAGTGCTGCCAGCTTCCCTCCTCTCCTTACCATCGGCAGCTACAAGCACACTACAGGAGTGGGGAAGGGTCCGGTAAATATGTCATATTTACCAGCCCCTTCCTTTTTTTAAATGATCACAATGATTGATTAATACCAATCACTCATTATGTTCATTCATAAATGAGGCATAGTAAACAGTTTTTTTTGGGGGGGGAAGGGAGACCTGTTGACTGTATGGGGCCCCGTGGTTTCTAACAGCAGCCCTGCATGGACCTGATGATCATAGGAATTCAACCTATTAAGCAAAATACGGCCAGAATTTGAGGCTAGGTGAATACTTGTGACATTTGTCCAACTAATTTTTATACCCAGATCCCATAAGTTGCAGTATTTTCCAAAGATACTTTTTTCATGATATGCAGTGGTTTTTTATAAATGCCCTTCTAACATGTTCATCCTTATAGCCACTTAGAACATTGCAGTCTGTCATTTAGCGTGTTTTTTTTAATTTTATTATTATGTTATAATGCGTGTTAATATTTTTTTTATGTATTTGTGGAACTTTTCTTAACTGTGTGCTTTTTGGATCGATGTGCCATATTTTCTACTTTTCGACGCTGCCATGGCTGGACTATGGAGTGTGAACCTTTGTGCTGTCTATTTGTGTGTCGCATTGTTCCCTGTGCAGCCATAGAGCTGGTGTGCAGAGGAATGTGCTGTGTCAATCATAGACTCAACATTGAAAATAAAATATAGAAAAAGTATTCTTTCTTATTTACTAATCCATGTAGATCAGTGGTTCTCAACCTGTGGGTCGCGACCCCTTTGGGGGTCGAACAACCCTTTCACAGGGGTCTCCTAAGACCATCGGAAAACACATATTTCCGATGGTCTTAGGAACCGAGACACCGCTCCTCTATCAGTTTCCGGCGGGTCCGCCCACATGCAGATACGCCCACATTTCCCTGGACGCGATGTGTGCGCGGGATGACATGCCGCCCCTGTCCTCTGGACACATCCCCGGGATCACTCAACAGCTCCGCCTCCTCGCTAGTGATTGGCCGCCGGAACTATAGCTCAGGAGAGGCACACAGGCAGCCAATCACCGGCGAGGAGGAGGAGCCGAGCAGCAGCGTGAAGATCAAAGAAGATCGAGCGAGGGAGCGGCCGGAGAAGGAAGACAGCTGACAGGTAAGTGTCTGTAGCTTGCAGATGGTCCTGCTGCAGCCAGGTATGCTGGCTGTAGATGGGAGAGGGAGGGAGCAAGCCCAGGCTGGAGCAGGAGTCAGCAAGGTAAGTATCATTGGTGTCAGTGGGAGGAATAGTGCCCCATCATTGGTGTCACTAATACCAATGATGGGGCACTATTCCTCCCACTGACACCAACGATGGGGCACTATTCCTCCACTGACACTGATGGGGCACTATTCCTCCCACTGATACCAATGATGGGGACACTATTCCTCCCACTGAACAATGATGGGGCACTATTCCTCCCACTGATACCAATGATGGGGCACTATTCCTCCCACTGACACCAATGATGGGACACTATTCCTCCCACTGATACCAATGATGGGACACTATTCCTCCCACTGATACCAATGATGGGGCACTATTCCTCCCACTGATACCAATGATGGGGCACTACTCCTCCCACTGATACCAATGATGGGGCACTATTCCTCCCACACAATGATACTATTCCTCCCACTGAACCGATGGGGCACTATTCCTCCCACTGATACCAATGATGGGGCACTATGACCCTCCCACTGATACCAATGATGGGACACTATTCCTCCCACTGATACCAATGATGGGACACTATTCCTCCCACTGATACCAATGATGGGACACATTCCACTCCCACTGATACCAATGAATTCCTTCCTCTGATACCAATGGGGCACTACTCCTCCCACTGATACCAATGATGGGGCACTATTCCTCCCACTGATTACCAATGATGGGGGCACTATTCCTCCCACTGATACCAATGATGGGGCACTATTCCTCCCACTGATACCAATGATGGGGCACTATTCCTCCCACTAATACTGATACCTAACTGATGGGGCACTATTCCTCTCCCACTGTATACCAATGATGGGACACTATGATAGGGCACTCCTCCCACTGATACCAATGATGGGGCACAATGATACCAATGTGGGGCACTATTCCTCCCACTGATACCAATGATGATTCCTCCCACTGATACCAATGATGGGACACTATTCCTCCCCACTGATACCAACGATGGGGCACTATTCCTCCCACTATTCCTCCCACTGACACACTAATGACACCAATGGGGACACTATTCCTCCCACTGATACCAACGATGGGACACTATTCCTCCCACTGACACCAATGATGGGGCACTACTCCTCCCACTGACACCAATGATGTGGCACTACTCCTCCCACTGCAAAATTACAGTTATGAATTAGCAACGAAAATAATTTTATGGTTGGGGGTCACCACAACATGAGGAACTGTATTAAAGGGTCGCGGCATTAGGAAGGTTGAGAACCACTGATGTAGACAGGGTGATAAGCAAATTATGGGAAACTTGAAAATACATCAGATCTTTCACATTTGCCTGAATTTGGCCAACTTATATTTGCAGAATTATGATCCTCAAAGATATGAAACATATCCATATAGAAGCCTTTGTCAACCGAGCTGCTATCTGGATTCATTAGGGGTGCCATTGTTTGATGGTGTAACACAGAGGAGCTCGACCCTTAGAAGAGCGAAGGCCACTTATGTAATTTGGTAACCAGGCCGCAATGAAATTAAATTGTTCAGGATTTCTTAATTTTTTTATTTTGAATTATTATTATTATTCAAAATTATTATTATTATACAGGATTTATATAGCACCAACAGTTTGCGCAGCGCTTTACAATATCAGGGAGACAGTACAATTACAATACATTTCAGTACAGAAGGAATAGGAGGGCCCGGCTCATGGAGCTTACAATCTAAAGGAAGGGGGAGGTGATACAAAAGGTGACAGCTGCGGGGGATGATCTGGTGGAGGTGATTCAAGTACAGTTCTTAGGTGGAGGTGGGGTAAGCTTCCCTGAAGAAGTGAGTTTTCAAAGATCGCTTAAAGGCAGACAGGGTGGGGGCTGACCGGACATGCTGTGGTAGGGAGTTCCCCAGAATTTGGGAGAGGCTCTGGAGAAGTCCTGGAGGCGAGCGTAAGAGGAGGTAAGGAGGGAGCTAGAGAGGAGGATTGCAAGGGAGGAGCGGAGTGGGCGATTTGGGCGGTATCTGTGGATGAGGTCGGTGATGTAGCTAGGGAAGTGTTGTGGATGGCTTTGTAAGCTGTGGTTAGTATTTTGAATTTTATACGTTGGGTTAGTGGAAGCCAGTGAAGGGATTGGCAGAGAGGGGCAGCAGTCGCTGATCGGTTGGTAAGGTGTATGAGTCTGGCAGCAGCATTCATAATAGCCACTAAATTCCAGGGTCAGGGAGAGGAGGAGAAGCAAGCTTTCATCAGTTGCAGAAGGAAAAAAGGGGTGTGCAAGTGTAAAACAGAATGTGACAGTTAGTCCGCATGGGTCCCATGGGGCATGGGGTAGGGTCACCATTGCGACCCTTGATACTACACCAGTAGTTGGAGGCGTATGGTAAACACACGTCACGTCTGAACTATGGAGTTTTACTGCCCCCCCAAACGGCAAATATAAATGAGCCCTTTCTGTCCTGATAGGGCTTATTTCACACTGATGCACTGAGGTTTACCCCCCACTGCGAGGGCAGTGCAGTGCAGTGCGCCTTAGGGTTAAGTGCATTTTGCCATAGATTTCTATTCTATCTTGCAGATGTGGTGCACTTTTTGAAAGTGCACCAAACTTCTGCATTCAGTTTGAGGTGGAGAGCCACATCAGAGGGCTCCGAGGGCCACATGTGGCTTCACAGAAATGAAAGTATCTTCTGCTCGATCATGCATCCCTGGCACAGAGACCAACAACGACAGCCAGTGTGAGTAAGCAAAATCCCCAAAAGGGATTATTAGATGTGCCCTTGTGGCTGGAAAAGATTAAAAAATCATAGTGTGCATAAATCACCAGAGCCAGATAGCTTACACCAGGGGTGGGGAAACCTTTTTGACTTGAGGGCCGCAATGGGTTCATATATTGGACTCGAGGGCCGGACCAAGAGTAGATGAATGATGTGTATGTGTCATCCATAGTAAGTATAGTAATATTCCCCCATAGTAAGCATAGTATATAGTAATCCCCCATAGTAATTCATCCCCCATAGTAATTCATCCCCCTATAGTAATTCATCCCCCATAGTAATTCATCCCCCATATAGTAATTCATCCCCCATATAGTAATTCATCCCCCCCCATAGTAATTCATCCCCCATAGTAATTCATCCCCCATAGTAATTCGTCCCCCATAGTATAGTAATTCATCCCCCATAGTAATAGTAAATCCCCCATAGTAATTCATCCCCCATAGTAATTCATCCCCCATATAGTAATTCATCCCCCATATAGTAATTCATAGTAATTCATCCCCCATAGTAATTCATCCCCCATATAGTAATTAGTAATTCCCCCATAGTAATTCATCCCCCATAGTAATTCATCCCCCATATAGTAATTCATCCCCCATATAGTAATTCATCCCCCATAGTAATTCATCCCCCATATATAGTAATGCATCCCCCATGTAGTAATTCATCCCCCATAGTAATTCATCCCCCATATAGTAATTCATCCCCCATAGTAATTCATCCCCCATAGTAATTCATCCCCCATATAGTAATTCATCCCCCATAGTAATTCGTCCCCCATATTCGTCCCCATATAGTAATTCGTCCCCCATATAGTAATTCGTCCCCCATAGTAATTCATCCCCCATAGTAATTCATCCCCCATATAGTAATTCATCCCCCATAGTAATTCATCCCCCATATAGTAATTCATCCCCCATAGTAATTCATCCCCCATAGTAATTCATCCCCCATATAGTAATCCATCCCCCCTATAGTAATTCATCCCCCATATAGTAATTCCTCCCCCATATAGTAATTCAACCCCCATAGTAATTCATCCCCGATAGTAATTCATCCCCCATATAGTAATTCATCCCCCATAGTAATTCATCCCCCATATAGTAATTCATCCCCCATATAGTAATTCATCCCCCATAGTAATTAATCCCCCATAGTAATTAATCCCCCATAGTAATTCATCCCCCATATAGTAATTCATCCCCCATAGTAATTCATCCCCCATATAGTAATTCATCCCCCATAGTAATTCATCCCCCATAGTAATTCATCCCCCATATAGTAATTCATCCCCCATAGTAATTCATCCCCCATATTAATTCATTCCCCATATTAAGTCCCCAAGTCCCCCTGTGTCAATTCACTTACCTTTGCTCCGCGCGTTCCTCTCGCCGTGTTCCCGCTCCGTTCCGGTGTAGCATGAAAATCTGTCTCCTATGAGGATCTGTCCCCCTCGACGTATCTGCGCATGTGCCAGTTTCAGGCAATAGCAGCCGATCGGCGATCTCCGGCACATGCGCAGATACGTCGATGGGGACAGATCCTCATAGGAGACAGATTTTCATGCCACACCGGTCTTCAGGCGGACTGTGAGAGGAGCCTAGCGGGAGCCTAGCTCTGCGGGCCGGATTAAAAGGTCCGCCGGGCCGTACACCTCAGGCACCAGATGAAATGTCCTCTTCACCTAGCTGCCTGAGGGAATCCCTGAGCAAGGGGGCTCAGAAACTGCCACTTCAAATCAACAGTCCCAGATGGGGAATAGTCAGGTTTACCACCAGAATCCCCTTTCCCCTTGTCCGGCCCAGGGTGTGTGGGTTGGTGGCTGTCTTCAGGACTTACGCTAGGCTGGCTCCCTCCTACTTTCCAGGCTATCCTCTCTCAGGAGTTGGTTCAGGCAGAGAGATCCTCCCTTCCATCTCCTACCTGCAGACAGGCCTCTCTCCTGGGCCCCCTCCCAGGCTTCATACTCCAGCCTTCTCACTCCACCCTTCTTCCACCCGGCACTACTCCTGCTGCTGACCAGGCTCTCTCATATTTAAGGGCTGTCCCTGCTCCATGCCAAACCTCCTGCTTGGGGATCAGTCAAGATCCCTTAAGTATGCAGATCCGCCCCTCCTCACTCCCACCCACTGCCTTCTAGAAACTTCTCAAGCTTCTAGAGTAGGGGGAGGTATCAGGGAACTAACTTGCAGAGCCCTCAGCCCTGACCTAAAGTGAACCTGGCTGACTTATCTCAGGCCGACTCACACCAGGCTGCTATCCAGCCTCTATCTAAAAAAAAAAATAATATCTGGCTCCCCCTAGATAATTAGAGGGGCGCTACACTAACATCAATAGGAAGGAATGATAAGGGATCATACTCAAGAATTTTTTGATGAAAATAGTATCTTTAGTAGTATCCAACATGGATCTATGAAAGACCGTTCTTGCCATTGCCAGACCATCCTTTTAACACTCTATGAGGAGGTGAGTTGTAACGTGGATAGAGGAAGGCATGTAGATATAGTTTACCTAGATTTCGCTAAGACATTTGAAACAGTATCCCCCAAAAAAGATTATATTACAAATAAAGGTCTTTTGGCATTGATGATATTACATATACCTGATAGAAAACTGGTTACCGGAGCTTATCCAGAGGGTGGTGATTATACGCATTTTTTCTGAATTGCGATCAGGGTGCCCTAGGGCTCTGTCCTTGGACCAATTCTATTTACGTAAATACATATGATTGTGCCTGCTTCACTTCCAGGCGCGTAGTGTGCCCCTCCTGTGTCCGATGTTTTATTGTTACAGGTAACCAGGTATCATGTGTTTGCGAATGGGCCTCTGCCCACTATTCAAAATAATTTGGAATAATTGTCCTATATTATAGATATATGATGAAATGAGACATGTAAATACCTTCTGTTGTAACTAAACTCTGCTGTGTTACCTACAAAGGGTATTCAGAGCACATTTGTGGTCTTATTAACCAACATACCTAATAGTAATCACTAGATGGCAATGTAAGAGCATATCTAGTGCTTGTGCATTAGCCATTTTCCCATGTGGACTGCTGGTAATCTCAGGCCTCATTCACACCAGGACGCTGTATTATTATTATTATACAGGATTTATATAGTGTCAACAGTTTGCTCAGCGCTGTACATTATAAAGGGAGACAGTACACGAGACAGCACAGTAACAATACGAGGGGTTCGAGGGCCCTGCTCCTTGGAGCCTACAATCTAGGAGATAGGTGCAATCTATGTTTTACACACTCCTATTGATCTCTGTGTA